CTGCACAGCAGTGCTGTTCGTCACTGTTTCATAGCTTCTTCGAAAGACCTTGTTAGGCTGTTGCTGACGCTGTAAAGTTTCAGATATTCCAGGATCCAAATCAGTGCTCTGGATCAAATGCCTTCGTTGGTCGACTCTGGTCATGGCCATGTTGATATTTCTCATTTTTCAATCCCAGTGTAGCGCGTTGTTCAGGAGTATCTGGCTCTTAGGTCCCTTTGATCTCGTCCGGCAGCCGTTCTGTTCAAGAAATATAATGCTGTTCGCCTCGACATGATCGTCAGCTGCATTGGGCAACATAGACGTCGGAAGCTTCCAGATCGTCTGGAGGTGAGTGATTGGCCTGTGGTTGGTCACGTCGCCATAACCCCTGTTGTCGTCCTTCAAGATTATGCGTGTCACTAAGTGTTCAGAGGGTTCCATGAAAATTATGACAAGCACGGGGCAAGTGGGCAGCCCATGGGTGCCCCTTTGGTTTGATTGAGGAATGTATCATTAAGGCAGAAATGACAAACTCCACCATGAGAAAAGTTTCAACTTTATGATAGAGTTAGATGAGATATTGACAGATTGCTAAGTGAATTATCTAGTTGAAAAGTTGACCAATTATTTTTGCAGTAAGGTTAACAGGAATATTAGTAAATGAATCTTGAACATAGTGACTGACTGAAAGCTTGCCTTCAGGTTTCTAGTCACCAACCACTGCAGAGAAAAAATAAAACCTCCAAAACTCTACAAACCAACTGTCTTGAAGAAAGAGCTTTAGACAAGAGATAAAACGTCAGTGGTGGTTAATCATTATGCTTTTCTATATATTCTGCGTCGTGTATTAATAATCTGGGTTCCATGCTGTTTTGCAGTATCACCATAAACGCATGAGCGAAATACTTTAACGTAATATTGTGGTTTTCCATAAATTGGAAAGGCGAAAGAATTGTTTTCTAGCTGGGAGGACAACCAGCATCAACCAGCGATTTATTTCTGGAGTAATGACACTAAACAAAAGGTTTGCAAGGGTAGTCATGAGGAGGCATTTGAACAACGAATGTTCATTTCTTGAAAGTTTCAAGATTTGTCATAGTAAGGAATGAAATGTCTCAGTGCAAGCGCTGTTGAACAAGCTTGAGACGTCCAGCCTTTCCATCATTAAAGAATTAATTATTTTACACCTTTTTTCCACGTTTAACTCAGCATTGAATCAACCGCAGTAGCAGGTTCGAAATAGGCCTCAATTCAGCGAAACAGTGTAAAAGAGTTCAAAAGATAGGAACAATTAGTCTCAGAGGTTGATCAGGCTCGTTCAATGAATATGACTATAAGGTCGTGCTTTGTTTACCGTTTCTTCAAAACGAAATAACAACTGAAGTACAAAAACGATCAAAATTCTTGGAGGGGCTTGGTAATAGTCCTTAGCTAATCGATTATGTTCTTATTAATATTTGGTTTTCGAGTACGTGGTGCTATTATCATAATGAGTCATAAATTTCCAGAAGTATTTGCATGATTTCACTGTCAAAGTGATATGAACTATGTCCGCAGTAATAACGACTTACCCGCTGCTAGAAATTTTGTGAAAGAGAGGTTCTGGCTATTGTTCGATGAGTTGAATTAACCTAAAGGCAATTTTAGAATACCCGTTGAGCGCAGCACACTGTTCTACCACATAGCTGCAGACTCAGCCTTAAAAATGAGGTCTTCCTTGATGATGGCACAGAAATAAAGATCAGCACTATACATCATGTTGATGGAAAGAATGGCGCCAGAATTGCCCTATTCTTAAAGTGAAGGACGGCCGACATCACAACGGTGATCAATTAATGTAACAGAAAATGTCATCCCTACAATAGAAATGTAGCAAAAGCTGAAAATCAAGAAATGAACGGAACTTATATTTGTTATATTTAATGTGTCATGTCTTTCTTATTGCGTATGCTCGCATAGTCTCTCTTTAAAGCGTTTCCATTCCTGATTAATTCCGTTCTTCTTGGAACAGAAAGACCGTTCATGCCCAACTCATCAGTTATCCACCCCCGTTAAACGTTACCTTAAGCCATGAATCGGTAGGTGAAGATCATTTTAACTCTCATTCAAAAAGGCGACAAAGAGACACCTTATTCCTTACTGACTACACATTGTTCTGTTCATAAATCGTTTTATTTTTTTAGATTTGTAAAATAAATTTGTAACTTCCTGATTTGCTCAAAGCCTGTTTCCACGAGCGGCTTCGCCAGAGAGACAAGTTGACATTCCGTCACACTTCTAGGTGATGTACCCTGTTTCCATCTTTGATCCAATAGCACTGTCGTGGACCGTTCCAGCGTGTTGCTGGACGATCGAGTGAACGTCTGCTGTTAAGTGTTTCAGCTGATAACTCTAGTTGTCCCCTTGTTGTCCCTCAGACGAGCCACATGGCCAGCCTATCTTCTCCTCGAGTCTTAGGTGGCAGTGAGTACATCGAAACGTCGTTTCCGACAGCAAACTCTCTTTGTAAACAGCCTGGCTGATGGATCAGCATTCCGCGCAATACGTCATGAAATGGCAGAGTCGAACAGTTCTTTATTCATGCCCATTAACTGTTTCTTATCCAGCAACGATGTTTCGATGTGATTGAAACTTTCAGATGTCACCTTCCTCCTTCTACTGATCTCACCATTGATGATGTTATTTGAATCTGGCACGTGATCGAGGTACAGTCTGTTAGCCACTTTTTCCATCTCTTCGCCGTCAATGAAGATGGTACCCCCGGAGCAGAGTTGGTTGCGATTCCACTTCGTCTTGGAGGCGTTCATCTCCAGATCGATGGCGCGTAACTCCTTCTGCAACTGCTAAGAGCAAGATGCAAAAAATATGATATAGTCTGCAAAGAACGGATGGGTGAGCCTCTCGCTGTCGATGTTAATTCGGTACCATTTGCATATTTAATAAATCTAAGGTAGAAAAACCTTACTTAACAATAAATATGACATGACGTTTCCAATTCTGAGTCCGTTGTCGAAATTACAAATTGATCGACGAATCATAATTTAAGGCATCAAATGACACATGTGTCAGCAATTTACTGACGAAGCATTTCACTGCAAACAGATTAGCATAGCCAGGACATAACTCCAGTATGGCAATCATCAAGCAGCTTCATACAAATAATTTTGTATTTTAAAAATTTACCAAACATCAACGCCAATCTGCTACCTCACATCGACATTAAGTCAAAATTCATATTATGTACGAATTTGACAAGGCAATTCGACACTGAGATTCATATGGATGCGCCACAGATTACAATCACGAGTTATGAAAGGTGCAATATGCTAGTAGAAACAAGTTCGTTCTTTCACTATAAATGCAGAACCATTCAGCAAAGGTGTTTGAGGTTTGAGGCAGCTGCTGACGACGATCGACCCTTCGGAATCCTGTTCTTAAGTTTTTCTGCTACTTTCTTTACACGTTTGCGGTTTTCATCAACACTGAGATGTTTGGTAAGTGGCCACAGCAAGATGATGTTGCAAACCAGGTATGCTATAAGCAAGCACGAAACGACACCCATCTTAATTCGAGACACGTCAACCATTCATCGTACAGAGCAGCAGTTAGTCGACTAATAAACAAGGCGAATAAAACACATTGAAAACACAATTGTACACGCAGAAGATTAAACTAACATTAGCGTAAACCACACAATGATATTACAACAAAATATATAACAACGGATAATAAAACAGCTTATTTTTTCATCGCCATGTTTTATACTTCACCTAGTTTGCAGCAGTTATTACCATTATTATTGGACCATTAGTAACAAAGATATATTATTCAATTATGTTCTACTGACCACTTGTAATCCATGTAGAATATTAATAGTATTAACAGCAAAGTGTCGTTTGTTCAGGAGCAATATTGTGTTCTACGCGATCCTCAATTTCTGAGCGAAAGTTTGTAGTACAAGACTTTTGCTATATCGCGAAATGATTAGCCTACCGTACTTTTTAGCCATTTTTCTGAAAGGAACCTCAAATTGTTTAAAGATCCACCCTTTGCGCATCACTTACTTTCAGGAAATTCACATCATTTCTCTACAACCACATCAATGGATTCAAACACATAAATGGATTTGAGCTTTATTTACCCGAAAACCTTTCAACGAATTCAAAAGCTTGTAACCGCCAAATTAAACATTTGACAAGTTTCAGCAATCATGTCACATTATAATAAATATTCACAAGTCAAGCAATAAAATAATAAAATAACACGAATACAAGATGAAAGGTACACCTCATTCAAAACATATCAGAAATCAGCTAAACTTCAAGCAAAAATCGATCCACGTCTGATTAATACAGCAGAAAAATAAGCGAAAAAAGTTTCCCATGCAAAACGAACAATCGTAGCAGATCTTTTGTTAGATTTCATGCAAACATTTGAAAATGTTGACTTTCTAAAACGTAATATAAGCCGGAACCGCTTTCAGAAACTGGACATTCGAAAGTTCCAAGCAACGACGTAACGAGGCAACATCATCGTTTAACCAGAATCATCCCTGAAAGCAGTTAAAGTACAATACTGGCGACATTTCATGGCGATACCTCTTGAGTACAACTCCGGCGTGCTTGGAAACCCAACGTCCCAAAAATTGGGCGGACTCTTGTCACGAACGTACACAGCTCGATGTCTACTCACCATGTTTATACGATCGTTTTTCTGCGACGAGGCTAAGGGCAGAGCATCGAAGTACTACAAGACAAAAAAACATAACTCTATCACGAGATCAGACGATCGAGTTTGATCACCTCGCAACAACAGCCACAGTTAAATCCATGTAACTTTCTCCGTAAATGCTTCTTCCGAACAGGATCGTTAATGTATCGGTATTTGGGTTTATTTTTCGCGTCATCATCAAATAATAAAGATCTATAAAAAATACAATTAAATTAAACAACAATTTATGCGTTTAAATACCGGTCGAACCTATCGTTTATTCTAGACATCCCCTGCGACGAACAAGCAGCCTTGACTGACGCTATTCAAACATGTTACACTATATACATATGCGTAAAAAAATATGTTTTTACTGCTCGAAGCTTCCAGTGACTTTGTGACCAATTTTTCGAAAGATCTGTCAAATGAGGAATCTTCACTTGGAGCATCGGCAATTCTTGAATCAGCTACAAGTCAACCGTAAATATTGCATCTTTTTAAAAGCAAATTATTCCTTACCAACAAATGCACAAGGTTTATGGTTGTCTGGTGTTTTGGGTGCTGACCAGTGTCTACCTGAACATGGCGTGACCACGGCAACCCCTAAAATAAAGGAGGTAAACCCTATAACTTGCATGTTAAATGCATACTTGGCAACTTAAGATAATTTTGGTCATTGTTAGATGAGTCCTGATCATCAGAAATCACCCCTTTAGGTACATCAATCCGGGTTTGATCTCCAACCATTGCTGCTTCGATAAAAAATTTGCGGTGAAGAAGCTTCGGCTTGGCTGATCGAAATAAAATTGGTGAGGGAGCATCTTCTACAAAACACAAAATAAAACAAAAACAGAACCGCAATTTGACCATACGGTTTATCGCTATAAAGAATAATACTTCCCAAACCATTCTGCTCAGTGGCATCCTTTATTCATATTGCAGATGGACGAAATTAAACTTAATAAAATATCTTTTGATCCTGTCCGACATTTACGGTACGAATGGCACTAGGTATAGTTTGATGTTAAATGCCGTCCGTTTGACGTCATCGTCACGATCTCCCTTTTGGTCTCAGGCTCGGAGTATACTCAAAATGGCATAGTGAGCCATTCAATGCACAGACCTAGGAACAGATGACTGGGTAATGTAAAGCTTTGAAATCAACTCCGGGAACACGCTCCATAAATGGAACATCGAAACCATCAGAAAATTTTACTAAAGCTCTTGCTACAGCAATACAAAATGAACTGCGGGTTCAGTGGAAAGACAGACACAGACTAGGTTATTCAGAATATTCAGACATTAAGTAGTCTCGATCTTAAAAGAATCTGATTTAGAATCTCGGCACTGTCACTCGTCTTTCAACCTTCAGAAGTAGAAAAATGAGTAGGGAAATGCATACTACAGTTGTCAGTTAACGGCATGTATTACCTTCAAACAGCAAAGTACTTCTGGCTGGAGGTATCGAATGAAACAGGCATAAGCACCTCGTCATAAGCTCTACGAAGGATATATGTCGAAAATGATGGAAAGGGTAAGAATACCTTCATCCGAAAGGTTAAAAAAATTTTCTTCATTCAACCGGTACTGCATCTATACGTATAATCAATAAGGTAATCTCCAGCATATCCGTAATAACGAAGATATTATTCGACAGGGTCGCATTACATCGTCATAAGCATACTGTAATCTGTCAGTGGTATGTTTAAATTTGCAGCTTACTGAACATCCTTGCAGCTTCACTGAGGTCATTGTCCATCGACGTACAGCCTGAAACGTGCGAATTAAAAAGGTTCCTACAACGTTGACTAAAAACTTACGTGAAATTTCAGAGATGCTGCCTTCCAAGCCCTGTGTATCCGGCACAAGCAGCGTATTGCGTTTCGGAGTCCTTATCACCATGTTCTTATGTGCAACAGACTCAGTTTCACCTCCAGACAACGAACTGCTACGTTTTTCCTGAAAAACGCAGTAACTAAATTCTGATAAAAAGCATATTTCAGTTTTGGGGTTACACCTTGTGTCGATTATCACATTTGATTGTCATCCATTAGATGAGTTACAGCAAAGTGTAGTCACAAGAAGCACTCATATCGGAGCATGGCCACATACCCCTCTCATTCTGGTACGACTACACCAGAATAACGAACTTTTTGTTACCCACAAGTGAACAACTTGCTATCTGTTTCTCGAAGGGTTACACCGAGGCAACGTGGGGGCAAATTGCATGTTGAAGAGACAGAAACAGCGG